AATAAAATATATTTTTCTTTAAAAAGGAATAGAGTAATAATAAAATAATTCTATGTATTTAATATTTTATAAGAAAAATGAAATTATATTCACTCTCTACACATACCCATGCTCACACATGCACATACACACTACATWATATTAGATATGTAGATAGTAAGATTTTAAATACCATACTTTATCTCAAATACAATATTCCCAAACTAAATAAATTCAAATACATTGAATAAYGATTATGAATGAAAAGGTTTCCAATCTGACAAGTTATTCCAATGATCTATAATCTTTCTCTTTTCTCTAAAGATAACTAGTATCATGAATAGGTACCTTTCCTCATTATACAGGCACATAATTGTAAGTCTACTCCCCTTCTCTGCTCTGTTAGATTGGCAAATTTGCCTATCCCTGAAAAACATTTTAATATTCATTTCAGCAATGTCTTTTATTAGGTTTATGAAGAAGCAACTTACACAAAATTGAATGTTAATATTTTTATAATTCTCATCTAAAAGTATGCAAGTCTGTATTATTAATTATAACATGCATCAAATAATTATTCTTTAGAAGAAATTATACTCAGTAATAAAGGCACAATATTCTCTTTAATATTTAAAGTACAATAACTAAGTTGTCACATAACTGCTATAGTATTTATACTGTTAAAATGAAATAATTAGTCTAATGAATACTGATCTTGAAACTGCAAATGTAACATTTGACTACAAAAATTATATCTTAAAGTAATAAATGCTATTGATATTTAAGATAGCTGGAAAGGTATACTGACACTATTATAAACAGCTTTCTCTCAATATCCTATGATATTTTCATAGTAGTCTCTTCATACTTACAACACAAAAGTGAGATTTTTTTCCCACTTCCTTCAGTTCATCCATTTTCTCTCTTCAAATTTCAGGACTCAGTCTCCTCTAGTAAACTATTTTCCAAACTGTGCTGTTATTTCCTCTGATAAAGAAGCAATAAACTCCGGGGAAAAGTGTTTGGTATGTGTTGTATTAAACATATTTTRATAGTTTACTCCAAAATTCTAAAACCAACATTATATTAACTATTCTTCTACAATTCCAAGAATAATATATGGATTTTCCCAAAATTTACTTAAATATGCTTTACTTTTTGTTTAGGTAGGACTCATAATATATACCAGAGCATTTTCTGGAGATAGTGTGAAAACACTTCCTTAAAGATATCACTTCTTTTGGGGCTGGGGTTTTGGCTCAGTGATAGCGCATTTTCCTAGCATGTGTGAGGCACTGGGTTTGATTCTCAGCACCATGTATAAATAAATGAATAAAATAAAGTCCATCAACATCTAAAAAGTATTAAAAAAGATCTCCCTTCTTTTGTTAAACTCATTATTAGGTACATAACACAGTTTTGCAAGAGCCTATGATACAGGTTTTGACACCAGGTAATGAGGACAGTAGGAAATACCTATCATTCAACCATTTATTTTTTAAAAAAATATTAGGAGTGTAATACTAATCACACAGGTTATCAGATGATAAAAAAATAACTCCTGGTTATTTTTGGAGAAAAAAGTCATCATCTATAAGAATGTGCAATTTCAAGCATCATCCATATTAAAAAGTAGGAGTACTTGGTAAAACCAGAAGACTGAGTTGTCATCAGAAGTGGCTGTACCAGGGAATAAACTTGTTTCCAAAGGAGCAATGTTTCCTTGTCTCTAAGAGGAGAAAAACTGTAATATCCATTATTTTAAGGCTACAAAGGGAAGCTTATTATACTATATAAAGCAGAAATTGAAGAATGAAAATATTCTAATTAATTATTAATTAGAATCAATATATCTCTGTCAAAGTATTGTATTCTGTGAATCAATAAATTTTGTTATTGCCACTTGGAAGTTGATACTGAATACAAACCAAGGATATGAAGAATTCACACAAATGTACTTAGTTTTAAGAAAAGAAATTAAATGTATGCCTTAAATACAAGTCAAAAAAACTGAGGATGTTGGCTTGGAGAGTATAAAAGTGTGAGGTTATTATTTATAATGATAAAAGTTGATAAAATCAAGGCATGACCCCCTTGCATATCATCAATAACCTTTCTCCTTCACCTCTATGTCATATTTGATAGTCTGATACCCAATTATATATATATATATATATATATATATATATATATATATATATATATATTATAAACTGCAAGTTTCTCTATTTTTTCTTTGCTAACCACATAATATTCTGATTCTTAAATGACTAAACTATTTAAACCTTTTGTTTATGTATTAAATATACCTAATATTCTTGTCATTCTGGATACATTTAGCTCCCCCCCAAAATATAAGTGATTATTAATATTATGGAAATATTACACAGAAGTTTCCCCAGGATTTTATTCATCACATTTTCCCTCTGGAAACATAAAAATAGCGATTTCATTCAAATATCTCTGAAGAAGACATTTCATTGAGAGGAAAGAGGTATATACAATTTTTTAATCCCCTTTTTCTTAGATTAGCAGATGCACGGTCAAGAGTTTCAATTACAAAATATGAGATATTAACCCATTTGATCTTGCTGTTATTTCATAAAGAGTTGATTTGTATTTGATACATTGATCCTCAAATATTATCTACAATAGCAAGGAGGAAAAATGCAGTATAAATTACTTATTTTTCCCAAAATAGCACAAAAAAGATAAGATTTTTATTTTCATTTTGGTCTAAAAGAATGAGTCCTTCAATAAGCTTTTATTTATTGCCTACTTCTTAGGTTCTACAATAGAATCTTTAGAAGGTTAGAAAGCAACTTCATAACAGTCTTCACTCCCATTCAAATTGTAGACAAACTGAGGATTAGAACTCACACTTCAAATGATAGCCAACCGACTATAGCCATATGGTACAAGGACACATGCAGATAAGACAGGTACTAAAGGATGTTTACAATTTTGGAGGATGTTAAGTCAATAGGCAATTTAAAACTGGAGATATTCTGAGCCAAGTGTGGAGAGTGTGGATTATAAAAATTGTTATGTTTGTTCAGTTCTTAGATGACAGGAGCCAAGAAGCCTCCTCATTGCTCCTTTCATGTCCTTGTTCCTCAAAGTATAAATAAAAGGGTTAAGCATAGGAGTCACTAAACTGTAGAACAAGGACATGAGTTTGTTCTTGTCCTGTGAGTTAGCAGCAGAGGGTTGTACATACATGATAATTACTGGTCCATAGAAAAGAGATACAACAATAACATGAGAACCACAAGTATTGAAAGCTTTCTTCTTTCCCTCCAAAGATCGAATCCTAAGCACAGTAGCTACAATAAACCCATAGGAGATAAGGATAAGTGACAAAGGAACCAGGGAATAGAAAGTCCCCACAATGGAGAGCATAGCTATATTGARTGTAGTGTCAGCACATGACATCTTGATCATCACTGGAACCTCACAAAGAAAATTATCTACCTTGTTGTTACCACAAAGTGGCAGCTGGACAGTGAGAGTTGACTGAAGCAAGGAGTTAGCCAATCCACTTATCCAGGCCACAGCCACAAGGAGGATGCAGTGTCGCTGATGCATGATAGCTGGGTACCTCAGAGGCTTGCAGATGGCAATGTAGCGATCCAAGGACATCACAGCTAACAGGATGCACTCAGTGGCTCCCAGGAAGTGAAACATATAAAACTGGGTCACACATCCCCCATAGCTGATAGACTTATCTTGGCCCCAAAGGTTAAGCAGCAGCTGAGGTATGGTAGTTGTGGTAAAGCACAGGTCCAAGAAGGAGAGGTTGGAAAGGAAGAAGTACATAGGGCTGTCAAGATGTGGATCTACTCTGGATACCACAATAATTGAGATGTTGCCCACCAGTGTGCAGATATAAGCAACAAGCACCATAACGAACAGGGGCATTTCCAACCATTGGTGTTTGGAGAAACCCAAGAGAATAAAGACCTCTGGAGCACTTGCATTGTCCAGATTCATGTTTGCCATTGCTTTTTTTGGTAGATTCAAGTTAAAGAAAATACTCCACTGAAGTGAGTTGATGTTTGCAAGCATAAAAATTAATAAAGTATTACTTTTCTGGTCTTCTAAAAGAAAAACAAACAAATACCTTTATTTAAACCAAGAAATGCAGAATAGCAAAATTTTTATAAAATAATGAGATAAAGGAAAACTTACAATTCAACTTATGTTAGAGAGAGAGAGAGAGAGAGAGAGAGAGACAGAGAGAGAGAGAGGATAAAAAATGGATGAATGAATGAAACTAATCTACCCAAGAACCAGTCATGATAACTTACCACTGGTGTTCATTTCTTTCATCCATGATCTTCTGGCCGTTGCAGTGTTCTGGTTAGATTTATGAGTTGATTTAGGAGTTCCAGATGTCTGGTTTGCATAGAAACAGCACATATTGTTTTCCATAAGTCTGTTCTCCAAACTCTAGATTGACTTTTTTATAAAAGGAACCATGCAATTAAAAGGAAATGAACYCTTGAAACATACTCAGAACTTGCAAAGCAAGACAAACAATAATTGATTGCAAAGATAAATTATTAGAGACACCAAGCACTTATCAACATAGTCTGATTATACAAGTGATTTTCACAATGTGAGTTGTAATCTATCCCACATATGTTATTCTATCAAGTTATTTTTTTTCCATTACAAGTGGGAATATCTAAGTTTGTGTAATATGAGTTATAATGCAAAATGTACTTCTTACTATAGGCAATGGGAAAAGGTTTGAAAAACATTGATTTAGTAGAAAAGAAAAGAGCATACAAAATTTTAAAACCTGAATCTAATCCACTGCTAACAGTTAACACACATATCTTTTAGGTRTTGTTTCTCAGAACCTCCCTTATTGTGAGGTCCAACATGTCTGACCATACTTTCTTAAGTGCAATATTTCATGTTCAGCTGGATATTTTCATGAAATACAGTGTTTTATTTGGTTAGGAGTTTGCTAAATAATTTTTCTTCAGGTTTTACCTAAATATCAACAATGTACAATTTTCTTCCCTTCCATTTCCTTCATTACTCAGATCACCTAATTTGAATCTGATGTTAATGCATTCAAGATTTTTAAACCAACCCACACATGTTTTAATTAGTGTAAATTCCCACTAATGCAAATAGTTTACTATGCTATTTTTAAAMACATGCCTCAGTTTCAAATTATAATGTTGGTTATTAATATTAAAATGTGTCAATTTATTTCCATGCTTTCTCACATGAAACTTTGCATTAAAAAGGCCAAAATATGCATGGAGTTGTTCAAAGATTAAATCAAAACAGCTGAATAGATCATTCCCTCTCACATAAAACATTTACCTTCAATCAAATGATCTTCTGTACTGGTTTCCTTCTTCTAAGAAAAAAATTGCTATTTTCATCAGAATTTAATATTAATTGGGGATAGGATTAAATATCTTCTCTCTATTCAGTGTCTTTATTTCATATCATAAGTCAATACTTATTTGAAGGATCCCAAATCTTTTTAGATGCAGAAACCTATTTACCCTAAAATAATTGTATGAGGGCTTGGGGAATATAGCTCAGCTATTGAGTGCCTAGCATGTATGTGGCCTGGATTCAATCTCCAGTACTCCCTAAAATATAACAAAAATAAATTAAAACATAAAATAATAGTTAAGTAGGAGCCTCACTCTCTTTATAAAGCTGTGAGACTTTGTGCTCCAAACAGATAATGAACCTCAGTGGAAATTTCTTGCCAAGAGACACTATAGCAATTCCCTGTGGGTATTCTTCTCTCTCACATTCTTATTCCAATAAAATGAAATCATAAAACTGACACCTGTTGTGTAACATGGACTTGAGACTGAAAGACACCTAGAAAACTCAATTTAGCTCCAAAAATTTCATAGAAATGTTCCTAGATTACCAGAGAAAGACAAAAAAATTATTTTTGATGTCAAGATCTGATTTTTTATTTACATTTATATCAAATGTTATTTTGAGATTCTGCTATGCTAAGATATAGCAATTCTAATTCTACATAGAGATGGAAGAGACAGTCACCTCCTAATATGTTTTAGAAAACAAAAGGCTCTTGTCGTTGGTTTTATTTTCCCCACAGTAGCCTCACTCAGTATTGACTATTTACCTAACCTAATATTGATGATATTAAAGTTTCTCACTGACTTGAACAATAAACACCTTGTGTCATTCATATACATTAATATTTCTTTTACTCATGTTTCATTTAGTAATGTTTCATTGACTCATCAGTAAATATTATAGAATCCCTACTATGTGTCAATCACTCATCTAGATGTTCCAAATAAACATTGAGAATCAAYATCCAACAACTTCCTGTAATGAAATTATACTCTAATATGGGAAGAATAGATTTGTGTTTATTGCTGGTGTCTTGATGAATTTAGCTCCAAAATAGATTCAATTACTAAACAAATCACAATGGTACAAGCTRATAATATGGCACAAATAAGTTTTGCACCAATAGATTTTTTGACAAAAGACTAAAAATTAAAATATGAATCTAAAGGATTTTTAAACCTGAATTTCTTATTTAAGCAATTTTTTTTCACTCAGGCCTTACCAGTAGTTAACAGTCTGGAATCCTTCTATAAAAGTTTACATCAGTCTTCTGAGATTATTCTCTTTGTTCATATTTATTCTCTTGTCATTCTCTGAATTCTAGAATTTTATCACCTTCTAATTSTTTTTAAAAATTATTTAGTAGAGCTCTCTTTACTTCCTTGTTGCCATATCTTGATCTTATTTCCTCCTCTAATTCTTCCACCATGATATTCTGCCTCACCCCAGGTCCAGAACAATGAAGTCAACCATTTATGGACAAAGATCTCTGAAGCTGGAAAGTAAAGTAATTCTTTATATTTTGTCTTTAGACCAGAAGGTGTGAGCGATAATCACTAAGCTGATGCAAHTGCCACTATTCTATTGATAAAGAAAAAATATTATGACAAACTGAAGAGAAATAAAACACTGTCCGATGGCTGTGAGTTTTACTGAACCCTTTTGGTGACATATAAATGTAGTGAAATAATAGACGAGCGAATATAGGTCACTAGCAGTTGGATAAGAGGCAAAGGTTTTCAAAGTGGAATAATCACAAAATGTTGCCAAATAACAGACAATTCAGCTGGAAACACAACAGCACCAACTGGAACTGGGTTAGAAAATAAGTGACATAAGCCAATCCCCAAAAGCTGAAGGGTGAATGTTCTTACTTAAATGTGGATGCTAACACAAAACAAGGAGGGAGAGGAAGAATAGAAGTTCAGTAGATTAGACAAGGAGAATAAAGGGAAAGGAGAAGAGGCAGGAATAGGAAAGACAGTGGAATAAATCTGACTTAGCTTTCCYATGTACACATATGATTTCACCACTGTGAATTGCCACTTCATGTACAACAACAAGTCTGGGGTCCTAATTAGAATAAGATGTACACCATGTTTGTATAAATATGTCAAAGTACACTCTAGTGTCTTGTATAACTAAAAAGGAAAAAAAATGGACAAAAAATATAATTAAAAGTCTTAGGGAAAGAAAGCTGTCTTTATCTATTTCATAAATGGGAAATTGAATCTTCAGGCTTAACTGGCTCATATTTTCCTTTTTGTTGTTGTTGTTGTTGCTGTTGTTTTTGAACAATGCCTCCATTTCAAACTCAACATCATTTGAGAATCATCTCAACATCTCAACATCATTTGATATCCATCAGTAAATACTGGAATAAATTCTCCAGTCCACACAGTTGGGTTCACTGCAGGTAGGTCTGGGAAATAAGTCTAATAAGTTTCCCCATGAAATAAAGCCAGCATAGCCACRAATATGATGGCTGGAGACAGTGCCTCCCTATTGTTTAACGATCTGCTCAACCTGATGTGTCAAGTTCTTCAGTTATCCCCACATTGGCAGTTTTGCATTCTGGGTCTACAGAGGCTTCTTCACCTTCCACTTCATTGTCTCAGCTTCTTGTTCCTAGTGGAGATCAGGATCAATGCCTCTGGTTCAAGCTTCAGATCCTCCTTGATGGTGATGAACATGCAGCACGCTGAGATACCAGATAGGATAAACTGCACCTTTGAGTGACACAGACATGGCTTCTATGCCACATTATCCTGAATCTTGTCCATTCCATGATCCTGTTTGTAAGTCTCTCCAACAAAATAGGCCTGACAGGCCCATTGCAGTGGTAGTCGGCTCAATAGCAGTGTGAACTTCAGCATCACAATTTAAGAAATCTAAAACAAAGAGAACATGATTCAAACAATTTTGTTGGGTTCTATCTCCCCTTTGGTTTTTTTGTAATGGTAATTTAAGGGACAAATGAGATTGCTCTACAGTAACATGACCTTGAGGATTATAATGAATACCTGTTCAGTGATCAATAAAACTATTGAAAAGAACTAGATAAGTAGGAGCATTATCAGTTTTAATTTATAGAGGATGGCGTGGCACTCCAAAAGCAGCTAAATGGTAAAAAAATGATTGATGAGTAGATTTCTTCTGTATGAGAAGTGGCAAAAATGAAATGAGAACAAGTGTCAATAATAACATGAACATAACACTGACTGCCAATTGAGAGTGGTGGTTTGGCTGAAAACCACAGGGATTAACCCTAATAGGTAAGACTAGAGTATGTATTACACTGATGAACAGTTGATGAAAAATTTGTTGTGTAAGCTGGAAGCATTCTGATAATGAACAATTTGAGAGGCTTGAGTACAGTCATAAGGAGACAATTGCTGACAAGCTGTAACAAGACAATCATCTATAGCATTACCTGTTGGTAAAAAAATTTCAGAGAAAGCTTTGATGTGTCCAATAAAACAAGGATAATTATGAACTCAAATTGTGTTTTGTAAAGTATGAAATAAATGAAATAACTCTTCTAAATGTATATGTCCAATGGCAGCTGTTTCGATGTGCATAGAACTCCATCTGTGTAGGCACTGTCACCAGAAATAATA